GCGGCTGCAAATACAAATGAAGCTTCACTCCCTGGCCCACCACTCACCTCCTGCTGTGCGGCCCAGTTCCTAACAGGCCATGGCCTGGTACCGGTCCATGGCCTGGTACCAGTCCATGGCCCAGGAGTTGGGGCCCCCTGCCCTAATGAGTCCTGCAATCTCACGTCTCTGGTTTAACTTGACCTCTTCCCTCTTCTTTCCCATGGCCTCCACCACAATTTGGGCTGTTCATAATTCTCATCTGGATTACTGTGAAAGTCTCCTTCTTAATCATCTCCACTTCCTCAGTTCTGCCCCTTCTCCCTACTCAAACACATCTTTCGAATTGCTTTCACAATAAGCTTTCTAGGAAAAAAATTTGTTCATATCACTTTCAGATTAAATTTCTTCAATAGTTCTGTATTGCTTTAAGCATAAAATTCAGTTTCTCAGCTCAAGCATGCAATACAATTATTTTCCTTTAGTCTGATTGGTTGAACTTAGGTCACATGCTCATCTTGAGCCCATTAGCAAATCCAAACAATTCAATACACTAATTGGCTAAAAGAATTAGTATCTATTTCTTGGGGTCACCTTCCCTGGGACTTGTGGGCTGTATGGGGGAAGGATGGAGACCAGGACAAAATCAGGGTTTCATCAAGAAAGAGTAGGAAGAAAGAGATGAGTGTTAGGCAGGTAACCAGTAATGTCAACTACTCTCTGTTTCTTCATGAAATTTACAGTTTAGTGGTGAAACAGAAAAGTAAAGCCAAAGTTACAGTGCAGTGTGATAAGGACAATCACAGCACTCTGGACAAGGCGTACGATGAGCTCCAAGACTTCTTTCTAATCAGACAAGGGGTCCAAAGAAAGTTTCCTAAAAGAAGTGATGCTTAAAGTAAATTTATGAAGAATGAACGATAGTTAACACTGTGAAGAAGGGGAAAAAAGCATTCTGGCAACAGGAATAGCAAGTGAGAAGGCCCAAGAGTCATGCAACAATCACTCACTGAAAAGTCACACATCATTCAGACTGACCAGAGAGGGACTAAAGATGAGGCTAGAAGGAGAGGTGGGGCAGATCATGATACATCATGTAAGTTTTATTCTATAAACTACCTATAATACCTGTTGGTACCATGTATGTACCAACGAAAATGCCAAACACTGTATGCAATTTTACATAATACAGCACCTTAGTATTATGGTATAAAGCCCAACTGAAAGATGAAGAAACAGACACATAGGTTAAATAACTTCTCCAGGGTCACATAAATTTGGCTCTAATCATTTTATACTTAGCCTTTCACCTAGAACTCAGACTCTTGGGACCCAAGCAGTGATATAGACTGAAAATAAATGAAATTGGGGGAATATATATTTGAGATACAGTTGGATATATGAAGATACATTTGAGAATGAAATATCTAAAGAAGCTTGAAGAAAAACCCTGCATCGAAAATGCGTCTTCTCCTTTTTGACCAAATCCTCTGATGGACTATTCTTTGGTATACATAACGGGAACAGAAGACAAGGGGCAGGTTCTGACTCAAGGGTCTTCGATCACATTTCTTAGCTCATGATTTGTCCCTGCCCCTGCCTACAATGTCTTTCCCCCCGTTTTCAATTTTCTGACTTTTGTTCATTCTTCACAAATTTAGTTTAAGCATCACCTCCTTTAGGAAACTTTCTTTGAACCCCCAGTTTGATTTAGAAAGATGCCTTGGTGCTCAAACTGTACCCTTTGCAGAGCTCTACAATTGTCCTTACCACACTGCACTATAACTTTGGCTTTGATTGTTTCTGCACTCCCTCATCCCAGACCATAAATTCCATGAAGATAAGGAAATTGCCGAGTTCTTTGTCCTCTTTCCTAAGAAAACCTTGGTTTTGTATGGGTCTCTGTCCTTCCCACATACAGTTCACATGGCTCAAAGGAGGCCACCGCTTTCTCATCTCAAGGAATGAATCTGATTGTTTAAGCCAGTGGTTCTCAATCAAGGGTGAGTTTGCTCCTCCAAGGGACATTTGACAATGTCTGGACACATAACCGGTTGTCACAACTGGGGATTACTACTGGCATCAGCTGCTAGAGGCCAGAGATGCTGCTAAACATCCTACAATGAACAGGAAAGCTCCTCTCCTCTCCATATTCACCTCACCCTGCCCCTTGGCTCCATCCGAGAATTATTCATCCAGCTCTCAATAGTACTGACGTTGAGACACCCTGGTTTAAGACGGTATTTCTGTGACTTTGCTTCCTAACTATTAATGGTCTAGGGATGAATATATGCCTTAAATAATCAATTAGACTGAAGCGAAGGACTGATATTCCACAATTGGGAAAGAGATGAAAGAGATGGACAATAAAGCTGGAAAGTTAAATTGTGGTCACATTGTGGCGAGTTTTGAGTGGAAGGCTAAATACAGTCTTTATTCTATAATGGAACGGTGGGTACCATGATTAGAAAGATATTTTAAGAGAGTGAGCATCTCATATAACCTGCAGGATAGATGGGAAAGGGGCAGAGCATGATGGACAGGAGCACTGTGAGACAGCTATTATTACATTTCCCGAGTGAAGCGACACTGTGTGAGTTCCTTTATGTCAGTGGTTAGCGTAGTCTTCTATACCCAGAAAGACTCAAGAATGTTTCTTGGATAGTTGGATTGGTGACCTTTTTTTGGAACACAGTAGACTATGATTCTGACCCAGTATTCTTGTTTCTTAAAATTACTGATGTCACCTCTCTGTGGCTACATGAAGAAAAATTAGCATATAACAAATGCCAAATTCCCCTGTGTTTTGAAAAGATATCTTTGGTAAGTTATACATAAACACTAAAGTGTGTGTGTGCGCATGTGTGTGTGTGTGTTTTATTATAGAAGCAACTTTTGTGTGTGTTTTATTATAGAAGCATCTTCCTGGGATAGATTTTTGTGTCAGTGTCCTCTTAGGTTTCTTTTCAAGCCTGACTGAGGTGAATGACTAAGACCTCAATGTTCAGGTGCCCTTGACCAGCTTGCTAGAGCTTCAGAGTGCAGAAGCAGACCCCAGGCTTCTGCCCTCTCCCATTGCTCCACTTACTACTCAGACCTTCCTTCCATCATTTTCCTGGAAGGTAAACTCTGACCCTGAAGACATCGGGGAAGTTTGAGTTATTTCTTCCCTTTGTTCCTAGCAATGGCTCCAAAGTCAAGTCTTTTTTTTTTTTTTTTGCAGGAAAATAACTGTAATATTTTAGATTAATTCAAGGAAGCTCCTTGCGTGTCCCTTAAACATAACACCCACTGGCAATCTAATAAGTATTTGCTGCTGCAGTGGCTTTTATAGTGTGAAAAGAGGATCTGTAGTCCTAGCGATAAGCTTATAGAGAATTTACTCTTTAGAATTAAGAATGTAAAATATTACTCTTTAGAATTAAGAATGTAAAACATTACTTTTAAGGTGTGCTATTTCTGTGCCCCCAAAATACTAAAATTAAAAAATAAGGCATTCTATAAATGTTTTTGTAAATTCTCTTTCCCCCTTTCCTTTGACTGTTATAGAAAATATTGCTTTAATGATTAGAAGTAAAATGTGGATGGTAAATTTAGAAGACATTATGATCCTTTGTATACTTTTTTCTTGGCAAAGCAATTTAATTAGAAAATAATCTTCCTCCCTAACATCTGACATGTACTATAAAATGATTCTCATTTTGTTGGCAACAAACCAGTTTGTTTGAGTTTGTAGCAAAATTATGAGCTATTACATTACTATGAAAAGATAGATTTTAAATATGAAAGATGAGGGGTTTTTTTTCTTAAATTAGAAATGCAAAGCACTTTAAAAAAAAAAAAGGCAATCTCCAATTTTAAAAAGTACAATTTCAGTGGGATAAAGAGCGGGGGGGAAGAAGAGATTACCAGGGGAATATGTCTTGGGGTGATCACACCAGGTCGCAGCCCATGCAGTCTGTGCACGCGCGTGTCCATGTGTGTGTCTGTGTGCGTGCGCGCAGCCACAGGCCTCCAGGCCCGGCCTTGGGGGTGCTCTGCCCCGGGCTTCCTCCGGGCGGGCGCGGGGCGCGCGTACTCGG